GTACACACGTCTTAAATACAATAAAATCTTTATTTATGATCTATTAAAACCTAAACATAACAAACAAATACACAGTATTTATAAATGTGTGTTTAACTGGAGAATAGTTTAGATTTATTTATTTACTAGCTGACCCGGCAAACGTTTGTTTTGCAACATAATATATTATTTCTAGGAAACAATTTTTTACTTCAATAAAAATAATTATCTACCTACAATTATAAAAAATTGGGGTAGAGGGTAGATGAAAATTAAGGGTTGTATGTATTTTTGTATGCTGTATCATAAAAAAATAAAAACAAAAAAATTGTCTAAAAAAAAATTAGGGTTTACACCCTTTATCACTTAGGGGTTTGAAAGATTGATATAACCGATTCTCAGACTTACTAAATATGCATAAAAATTTTCATAAGAATCGGTCTAGTCGTTTCGGAGGAGTATCGGAACGAACATTGTAACACGAGAATTTTATATATTAGATTTAGAAAAGCTTGCCAACGCTCGGCACACTGCACTTATATGTTACCAAATACGAAGGAAAAATGTCATATATTGGCTTGGAATAGCTTGTATTAGTTTCATTGTTATCTAAGAAGTAAGAATTGGCGCAAGGATTTACATTCTGGATACACAATTCTTTTGTTAAAATAGTATACATATATACGCTAATTTTCTCCGACCGATTGGCCATTGACCAAAATAAATTCAAAAACCGAAAAGTAACGATTAAAATCACAGAATACATTAATTTCTAATAATGTACCACAATATTCGCGCGAAAATTACATTTTTGGTGAATTATTTTCTTATGCTTACATTATATTTCCCTTAATTAACGAGAAACTCGACACTTTATTTGAGAACAGCGGTTATTTGTTATTTAAATTGTGGTTTAATGCTTTTGGGATGGAACAATAGATGTTTTAAAGGGTCAAATGAAAGTGCCAGTGTAATTCAGGTTTTAGGACACGATAAAAGAGATTATTTATACAAAAAATCGTTACGTGATTTAGAGTTGAGATTTATGCGCGAAATTTTCGTGAGCCAAAATCTAGTACGAAGTCATAATTAGAGCCAACTCTTAACTTAGGAAATTGTCTTTTCGTGTCTATCCCAGATGTCTATAAAAGAAAACAACGTGCTCCGAGTGTTTGTTGAGATATTTTTGCTCTCAAACTTTGTTCATGAATAACATAAAAAATAACAACAAAAAATTATAATAATTACAGACTTTTTCTAGGATTTAAAATGATTCGAATATACTCACTTATAATACCACAAGAGCTTCAAAATTATCGGGTATTTCCCGATAGGTTCGTTGCAAACAAATGAAGGAGTCAAGTTTTTCAGGTTAAAAAATTGACGACTTTATTTGTTTGCAGGAACCCCCCCTTGGAGGGAAATGCCAGATAATAAGCGCTTTTGAAGCTCGTGTGGTATCGGGGATTTTCCGACCCAAATGTCGGCCAATAGAATTGCACCATGAGACGAAATGTACAGTTAACAAATAAAATTTCATAATGAATAAAAAACACTAATACTTTTCTTGAAGCAACTACCAGAGAAAATTTTCAAAAAATTATCAGTATAATACCATGTAGGTTGTACCACGTGACGTCGAATGGTGCAATTCTATTGGTCGATATTTGGGTCGGAAAAATAATCATAGAAATCGTATACCAATAAGTATACATATATTCTGTAGCAGTAACAAACGTGTTGCATAGAATGCTAATAAAAATATAAAATAAGAAACTTTATTTTATTTTTTTCTACGCAATTAGTATAGTAAGACAATAATACCTAAGCCTGGCTAACTTCTACATAAAATAACAATCAAAACTATAACTTGGTGACGCTGTCGTCATTTTCAATTATTTTTATAACCATGTTTTATCTTTACATTTGTCTTTACTGATTTCTCTTTTTTTGGTAAGCTTATAAGTCTTTATTAATATTAAGATTTTATTTACTTTTATAATATCATAATTATATTTTTTTGTTTATAACAATGATGTTATTATTAAATTAGGTATCGCAGATTTGCACTTGTGTTTTTTAAACGATTTCTTTTCTAAATTAAAAAATCATTTAATCATATAGGTAACACAATGTACACTTATGATCGTCAAAAAAAAGAACTATATATGAAATGTTTCTAGCTTTACATTTAGTGCCTTTAATTAGGGTTGCGATGCCTTTCTTATTTTTTAGTTTATTTTTAATTATTATTTAATTCTCGTGCAAAGAGTTTGAATAAATAAATAAAATATATTATAACTAATAATGAAACTAGTCTTGTGAACTCAACCAGGGTACAAACAAATAGACCTCGGCCGTAAATTTCTTGATTAAACTCGTTTATAATAGATCAACTAATTGTCATTTTGTCTGAGCAACACAAGCGAAATCTAATGCCCAATTAGTTAACGACTAAATTAAGGAAAGATATATTTGTATATAAGAAGTATATAAATATCATTCTTAGCCATACATTTTGTTCACTGTCTAATAGATTATCTTAACTATACAGTATTGCAAGAAGTGTCTCAATACAATACATATGGACCTTATATCTCTCTCTTTCTCTCGCCCCAGCTGTTTTTATCGTTTAGCCTAAATTACGTGACTGTTAAAATGATTTAAACCTAAATGGGCGGATAGCAATCATCAAAAGTCTCGAGTTTTTATGCTGACTATAAATCTCTCTTTAATGAAAATGGGTAACACACGGAAATATAAATCGTGCTTAGCTTTTGTGAAATATTATGAAAATTACGCTGGTAAAATGGTGACGGCGGACATTTTGTGCGTTGTTTTAATTGATAAATTGATTCGATATTTGAACCAGTACGTGAATAGAACCTTTTCTTATGTAGTAAGAACCCGTCTAGATCACTTGATGCAGATTATCTCGCTAGACCTACCAACACTCCATTGGCAAGATGCCGTGTCTTGTCCGCATACCGCCACATGATGTGCCCTAGTCCCTCCACAGCTACTGTTCAGATTTCATTGAAATTTTCAAAACACTTTATAGTCCTCTTGATAACTGTTGCCATTAATATTGTGAGCTAGGCACAGCAGCAACCATAGCCACATAATAGAATAGAACTTTTAAAAAAAAAAATGATAAGAGTAAGGAAAAAAAGTGGGGGCCAAGGGATTTGCCATGCCGCCGAGTGTCTTACACATGATAAAGAATTTACTTCTTTGACTTTAGATCTGTATAAAAAGTTTTAGTCTTTTAAAGTCTTGGGTTGAAACAGAGTAAAACTGATAAATTTATTTGTTGCAACCCCAACGTATTTTAGTTCTTACTAATAAACCTAAGTTAGCTTTTAAATCATTGACTAAGTGGTGTCTCAATATTATTTAGGAGTGATAAAGATCGATTAACGTAATCCAGGCAAGCTTAGAATACGTGTGTTATCCTATAATATAGGCCTTACAAAGAAGTACTCAAAATCCATTATAATATCATCATGAAGCTATTTTTCCTCTCTCTCTCTCTCCCACTCTCTCTCTCTATCGTAACGGCTGTGACGTATCACATCACGCTACCACCGAAATAACGCAGATGAAACAGAACATAATAATATAAAAAAGGTTTTTTATTTTATTTATAAAAACCACATAAAATTCTCTCTCAATGCAAACCTACAGTTTCGTCTTAAGTCTAAATTACATTTCTGATAAGGATCGTCACCGCTTAAGAAATTTGCACTTCCTTTAATAATAAACACGTCTTTAGTAAGTCTAACTTAAAATTATATTAATTGCTTCTTGCACGTTTAATGAATATTTAAACAACGGCCGCGCTGTCGGAAGCATCTTTATAAAGTTTAAAACTATAATTATGATCCGTAGCCGCCACAGACGGTGAACTTTTTAAAGTTACTGGAACTCAGCCAGCGATAAATCCTGTTGAGACACTTGCAAGTTTTATAAGTTTTAATAATGTTTTTAACAACATCTCAGATTATGTGATAAGATTCTACGAGATGGGACTCAAAGGAATAGCTTCAGCTATTGCGGAACTTATAGCTGAAAGACGGTATTTTGGAATTTAACACGTGATATTGATTACTTTCTTACCTTACCACCTACCGTTTAGTTATATAAGCTTAAAAATATGCAATGTTATATTTACATGATTAAAATAATCTTAAGATTTGCCTTCATTGTATTGCAGATTGCGCTATAGCCTAAAGCCTAAATAATTCGACGGCTGACGGGCGACAGTACCTAAAGGTACGATTCCAACAGTGTGCCGACCTGTGCGGCACAGCGTTGCACAGAGTACGGCACAAATGTTTGTTTTGGTCGACTCACTCAAGCGAACATAACAAATTTTGCGCGAATAATTCAGCAAAGTAAGCGCACAACCGTGCACTTGTGTGCGTGCACACGGTACAAGTAGGGGACTCGTGTCGACTGTCGACGCGCACGCACTCGTTGTTCGCAACTTCGCAAACTCAGTCCTTCCGCTATCAAAGCCAACAGATTTAATAATTGCACGCACAATGCCAAGTATGGCAAATATTTTTTTTAATGATCAAGAATATTTTAGGGGAAGCCCGGGCAAGTCGCACATAATTTATAGATTGTCCGTCATCTTTGATACCTATCCGTCTTGCCCATTTCTTTTTGGCCAACACGGTCATATTAGAAATCAAGACTTGAAATAATTTTAGTGGGTAAACAAAAAGTAACGATTACAAATAAAAATTAAATAAACATGCAATGGGCTAAATAAAACATAATAATAATTAATAACCACAAATATGTCTGTCATAGTCATGTGTCAGACATAATATAATATTGTCAATTGACAATACCTATGAATTCTATTTCTGTGAACCACTAAGTACTAACTTGGTTAGTGTCAACTTTCAACTGTCAGTACCATGCACCAGTTTCACAACTGACAACACACAGTTGGTACAATAACAAAAATAAACATTATTTGTAGTTTACAAATAATATTTTAAGATACAATGGTGTGTGAAAAATGTGAGAAGAAACTAGGTCGTGTAATTACTCCGGATCCTTGGAAAACCGGCGCTAGAAACACTGTTGAATCTGGTGGTAGAAAAGTTGGGGAAAATAAAGCATTAACTGCGAAAAAAGGAAGATATAATCCATACACTTCTAAGTTTCATGAATGCAAGTAAGTACTGTCTTAAAATTAAAAACTAAGGCAAAAATTTAAATGTGTTAAACATTGTCATAATAAATAATTATTCTTGTGGCATTCCAGGATATGTCGAACTAAAGTACACCAAGTTGGATCACATTATTGCCAAGCATGCGCCTACAAAAAAGGAATTTGTGCTATGTGTGGAAAGAAAATATTAGAAACAGCCAACTATAGGCAAAGTTCAACATAGTGTTTATACCTCATAGTGCTTAATTCTGACTTAGAAACTTTCTTAACTAGACATAATTTTGTTACATTTAGTAAGTACTATTCCTAAAAATACAGCTGTTATCAACTAAATATAGGTTAGTCATTTTGCTGTTTATCAGAATTAGCACAAATGGCTCCTTTGTAAAACTTAAAACATAACTAAAAAGTATGTAAATTGTTAAACTAAGCGAAATAATGTTTAATTTAAAAATTTATTATTTTGCAGTCATAAAAAGAGTATATAATTTTGATTGAGAATTAGCAATAGTTGTTAGTTAAGCTGTTTCTGACTATAAGTAACAAATGTTTTTAGACAATTTAAAAACATATTTTGTTTTTATAGTTTTGGTAAGATTAATAAAAAAAAAAATATTTATTATGACATTATATTTAATGTATTAAGTATCTGAATATACTTGTTATATAACTGACTCAAATTCACAATGCTTTATAAAAAATTACATATTATATAATTTAAAATTTACATTCTGGAATGATGTGAAAGTGTAATTGTATATAGTGATTTAAATATATTTCTGTAATTGTTTGTGTAAGATTGAATAAGTTTTTAAGCCCACATTGACATACTTGATATCTCTGTATGAAGAATGAAGTAAATTATTGATTTATAATGTGTTTTATGTTTTATTTTATAAGGTTTTTAAGTTTTCTTTCATAGAAGCACTAAAGTGGAATAGTTTAAATGAAAAATATGGATCATTACTCAGCTCTCTTGTTGATAAGAATGAAGAACGAATGGCAACACTCAATAAATTAATTCACTTGGACAATATAAATTATGGTGATCTCCTACGGAATATACTGCGTGCACAACCAGAAAATGTAGCTGTGGTCATTTTAAATGTATGTTTTTTTTTTAATTTAGGCTCCTTTTTTATCATCCATCTAGGTTGCACAATAAAACCCTTGCAGAGTGGAATTATTACAACTTTTAAAATCTAATATTAAATGAAAATTTATTTTCTGACAGAATAGTATTATTTGATATTTATTTTATGATAAGATATTTTTGTAGGAAAAAGACACTGCACAAGATGAATCTCTTTTAGAAATAACATCAAAAGAGAACTTCATTGAGCCTAAAAATCCTTTAAGATACAGAGACAGTTCAGATTCAGACTCCTTCTTCATAAAAGAACCAACTATTTATGGTCCAAACGATAAAATACCTATGGAAAATGCAAGAATTAGATGCCGTCTATGCCTGCCGTAACGCATATAGAAGCGTGTGCAGGAGATTTAGAACTGAATGCACATCAGAAATGCGAAAATATTTCAGAAAAGAATGTCGTATTGCCTGTCGTAGAAGGTTTTGAAATAAAAATATACTGATAAAGTCTTTTTATATTTATTGTTTTTTTTTAATCTTAATTATTAAAACTGCTATTTCTTTGTCTGTCTGCCAGTAGATTTTTAAGGATATTGTTCCTGGATTTGATATCTGAAATACAATTATTATTGTTTGGAGCAAGAAGAAGTTGTGGAACTTCCTTTCTACCTTATAGTTGACATCTTTTGGAACTTTATTTAAGTGTGACCGACGTACTAGAATACGGGTAATATGTAATGTTCAGAGGGCGTGGTTGCATCAAATATAGTTCTTTTAGGCTCGAATGCTACCTAGCCGGTTTGTTTTTTTAAAATTTTTTTTTTTCTTCCCCCCAACCCCCCCCCAACACCTTTTCCCCCCCCCTTTTTTTTTTTTTTTTCCCCCCCCCCCCCCCCCCCCCTTTTAAAAAAAAAACCCCCCCCCCCCCCCTCCCCCCCCCCCCCCCCCCCCTTTTTTTTTTTTTCTTTTTCCCCCCCCCCCCCGGGGGGGGGGGGGGGGGGGGGGGGGGGGGGGGGGGGGGAAAAATAAAAAAAAAAAATTTTTTTTTTTTCCTTTTTTTCCCCCCCCCCCCCCCCCCCCCCCCCCCCCCCTTTCCCCCCCAACCATCATTGGTTCAGCCGTTCTTAGGGTTCAAAAAAAGAGCATAGATTTCAGTTACGTATTAAAATTAAGATCAAAAATATATTATTAGTACAAGCACGAATAACATGTCGACTGGTACAGACTTATTTTATCGAATAACAGAGCATACTTATATTATAAATATGAACATAGCTGGTATATCGGAATTTTTTTTTAATGAACCGCCACGAAGATAAATTATTGAGATAATTCGGCATGTTTTTTTAATAATAATATTTTTTTAATGATTAATAAACACAATGTCTGAATTAATTGTTTTCGAAAATGGAATCCTTTTTAAAATAAAACTTATACGACCAATCAATTTATTACGTTGCAATTTCACGGTATGGAGTAGCAAGTTTTGATACTACTTTAGCAAAAACATAATGTGTAACTTGAAAATAAAAATCAACGGATTCTATTTTCTTGGAGTATTGATTGCAATGGTTTGTATATTTTTTCTACTTCTAATTTTTTACTACCTACTCCTATTTTTATACTAAATATATAAATCAGTTTTAATAAACCATTGGATCTTTTTAGGATAATACTTGTTTAAAGGCTATTATTATAGTTGCTTCAGAGTTAAAATTATAAAAACCTATTTTTTAGCATATTTGCGACGCAGGCATATATTTAAAACCGATAGATCTAAGCGACATTGATGCAACAGAAAATATTGATACTTTACTTTTAGCTGTGGCACCGGTAAGTAATATTTATTTTAAAATGTTGATACCAGTATTAATAATACATTCAATATTAAGATAATTAAACATCGTTCTTGACCCAGCTCTGTGTTCTCTCATTTCGCTTTTACTTCTAAACATACATGTTTTTATTGAGATAAAAACCGCTTTAATTCATGAGAAAGACATTTTCGTAACTAAAAAAAATGGAAGGGTTAATATTAGTTCTTTAAAAAAATGCACTAACTTACAGGACGAACTAAGAACGGAGTTATCGCCAAACGATATAGAACCTTATAGATCATTTCCCAAGCGTTCTAATAGATCAAACGACTCATTAGAATTTCTAGGCGGCTTACAACTTGGTAAGACACAAGTAGAAATGTTAAGAAGATCATGGCGTGATTCCTGCAACCGAAAAGCAGCTAAACTCTGTCGGAAAGCTTGTATCAGTACATACAAAATTGTATGTGGTGCATATTTGTGTAAGAGAGGTATGAAACGAAGCTTCAAAAGAGAGTGTAAAAGGAACTGTAGAGGGCGCTTTGCTTCCGGCTCACGGTCGGATACTGATTGAGAACGATAATTGTTATTCGTAATAAAAAATACCTTACACTGTACTTATGGCATTATACGAAAATTTTAATAATTAAACTTGCTATGATAGTAGTTGTAAATGTCTAAACTTTGCTTTTAAATATTCGTAGTTTATTATAATAGGCATTATCATTGAAAAATGCCTACATGTAATATTATCAATAACATTGATTTTTATTACTTCGTTCTGTGATCTGTCGTTTTATGATTTTTAAACAAAGTTAAAACGTTTTTGATACAAAACTATTCGGGATATTAAATAAAAACATATTTTAATACTTCATTTATTAACACTTACTATAACCGATTTAATCAGTCTTATTTACAAAGGAATATAAAATTTATATACATGAGCACTATTTTACAATCCCAATAACATATAGGTACACATACTTTAAAAGTTAACGCAACATAACAAAAGTGACAGATTTTTATATGTAAAACTTGTTCAGCGCTTCCCGGACGTATTTGGATACATGCATAGTTCAAATAGAATTGGGGCGAATACATTGTCAAATGGATTGTAACTGTCAAAAAATTTTTTTTATGTAATAAGAGGCAAACCGTCAGGAGGCTCACCTTTTGTTAAGTGATAGATAGTTGCCGGCCTTTCAAGAATAGTACGCTCTTTTCTTGAAGGACCCTAAGTCGAATTGGTTCGGAAATACTTCAGTGGGCAGCTGGTTCCACATAGTGGCGGTGCGCGGCAAAAACTGCCTTAGAAAACGCTCAGTTGTGGAACGACGGACGTCAAGGTGTTACGGATGGTATAAAACGTCAAAATTGACATATGGAAACCAATATGACAGACGTATAGTATAAGTTGGACTTAGAAGCGTAGTTTAGTATTCAATCCAACAAACCTTTTATATTTACATAAAACTTATGTTATGTAGGTTAGGTACATTAGGGCCAAATAAAGAGACCATAATTGACAGCTGTCAGTTTTAGCTTCACGTGCACTGACACATTGTAAGTCAACGTTCAGTTCACTCTTTAGAACGAAAACTGTTCATTATTTTTAAAATGGTTCTATTGTTTTTATTACAATAAATTCTAACTTAATCGAGTTAATTAATATATTATATATAATGCCGCTACCTGATGAATTTTGATAAAGTGTCAAATGTATTAAATTGGCCCTACTATAGTATTTTTCAGGGAAGCCTTGGTTTTTTTTAATAAGATACATAGACTGTAGTGAATTTTTACCGATTTCTATACCAAACAGGATGGTTATATCATCTCAGAATAACCTGGAGTCAAGAGCTACAAGAGTAAAAGACTCGCTCACAAGCTAAGTATAGGGCGAACGCTCTATATGATGTTTTAGTGAGACTACATTACTGAATTAAAAGGACATGGTTTTTTTTAATTCCCATCTAGCGACATATAGGAATTGAATGTACAATTATTTAACATTGTGTTGACCCTTGGGTGAATTTTGTGTAATGCATTGAAGGAATAATTTTGTTGCTCCAAAACGAAACAACAGCACAAAGTTTTTTATTGTATGCCAATATTTACATAATTACAAAATGTCAATTATGGCTTTATTGAACGATGAAGAAATTATATTACATATTTTAAATATTTTAACGAGCATTCAATTACTACAGCTCTTCGGACGTTATTATACGACTATGACGAGATGTTTCTAAAATCTAATTAACAGATGGCTGCTTATGCGCAAGATAAAGTGTAAAAATGCTCGTTAAAGCGCTTACTAAAAATATAACATCGAACCAGCGATGGTAGAAGTTAAACTGCAAGTCACCTAACACTTGCGTCACGATAATCCTGTACTCCGGTGGCATATTCATCCGCATTAAAAGGACGGACGAGCAAAAATACATACCCATAATTTGAGCAAGTATCAAAACTATGATGTTCGATGATTTTGATGACGATATTTTGTAGAAGAACTGAAACAAATTACTATTTTATTAAAGTAAACAATTAGCATGATAATTATCATGTTGGTAGTAGTCTGTGCGGAAAGAAAATTGTGGGTTATGTTGACAACACTGTCAAGTCATTATAGTTTGACAGTTAGTTTGATACTGTATATGGATAAAATAAAAGAAAGAAAAAATTATGAATAAATGAAATGACTCGTAGAAAATTATATTACTTCGTATAACTTTTATTTTTACAGACTCTATCTTGAATGGAAAAATAAATATAAAATCAACATTCAAAATAATTTATTCATATAGGTAACAAAATGTACACTTATGAACGGCAAAAATTTAATACATAAGAAATCCTTCTTATTTTACATTTACTGCCAGTTCTCAAATCAAGGGCATAGAACGGAAGAGAAGAACTGGCGATAAACTCTTCCGCCACTCTTTTTAATCGCCAAAAAAGGCCTAGAATATCCTTAGAAAATAAAGGACCGACATATCTCGTCGTTTGCTACTTTAGCGCAATATCTACACTATACTATGTGCGCTGTAGCATGGTAACAGTTGCTTAATTTTTCTTTCAATTTGATTTTATTTGTAGACTAGAACATTCTGGCTGGGTTAAATTTAAGTTACTACAGTTATTAATGATTTTATATATTACGAATGTGGTACAGCTGAAATACTAAGTAATTTGTAAATCGCGGCAAATTTCAAGAGTGAAACGAAACCTTACTGAAACTCACCCGCACCATGCTACAGCGCACATACTATACTTCTTGTTCTTTGATATTGTAAATAATGTTCTGTGCACAACACTATTATAGTTTTTAATCTGAAGTTGTATTTTAGAACTTCATTTGGCGCGTTAGGGAAAAATTATGAGAGTAAATTATTAAGATGCGCGCGCACACCGTCACAAAAACCGACGCCCTGAAGTTAGCTATAGTCAACATTTTAGTTTTTGAAGTGAAACTTCTTTATCGGGGTTGGAAAAAAATTTAGTGTAACATTTTTTCGTTACGCGTCACATTTTTCGGTTACGCGCCATGTTGCTTTTTGATGTCAAACTTCTTTATCGGCGTTGGAATGAAACTTCTTCATCGACGTATGGGAGAAATTTTGTAGCAAATCGTCACGTTTTTCAATGATAGTAATAATTCTATTACAATGAATGAAATTCTATAATAATCTTCGTAGTAATAAGGTAAAATGAAATACAGTCTATGATAATAAAAGCCTTTTGTTAAACTTTATCTAATTTAACGAATTTCTGTAAAGTTGCATATAGTAGATAATTTTTCGAAAAATAAGATCTTATTTCTTAGTTTCACTTCTTACGTGTGTACACCTAGTACACGCACAATTTTTTTCTAATTGTTAGTGTCGTTTTTTCTACAAACGTAGAATACATTTTTTGAAAAGATTTTTATCTTGTTACGCCAAAGAAGTATACTTCTAACGCGTGTAGATAAGTACACACGTTTTTTTTAAATAATATTGAATAATTATCAAATTGTGTAACCAACAAAACTTGCATTGCTATTTTGATGAATATTTCTATTGTATTGCCATTTTGTAAATATTTTCATATATTTAAACTCACCTTAGTTAATGTTAATAGTAATCCACGTATGCTGGTCAGCACAATACAACCGACCAAGATGAATGAGACATGTTGGGACCAAAACGCAAGATCTATGTTCCATCCGAGCCAATGCACTACCAACTCTAAGCCTCGCGTCACAGGGTCCTTTTTACCAACTCGGTCGAACACTATGTTAATTGTCGACTGAAACGAGAAAGAAACCTTTGCGCTACAACTGTTGGTCTTGGTACAGATTTCTGTATCGTGATACGCCTTCTGTCACACACACAGACACGCCGTCACGTGACTTTCTCACAATGTTTCCCTTCACAATACGAGGGTTTTAAACCTACAACCTCAGAGATGGGAGACGCATGCTCAAGATATGCAACACTAGGTACTCATTGAAGTGAAACTTCTTTATCGACGTATGGGAGAAATTTTGTAGCAATGTAAAAAATCGTCACGTTTTTCGGTTACGCGCCATGTTGCATTTTTTTAATACCAACTGGCAACTACAAATTGCTTGATCGATCGCAGGTTGAATCCGATATTGTAATGAAAGTTTTAAAATGGCTATTCCATTTCAAAACTTTCAATAAAATATCGGCGGCAAATCTCGCGAGAAAACCTTGAAATTAGTCGGATTACTTCAAGTAAATACAATTAATGAAATTCTGTAATAATCTTAGTAGTAATAAGGTAAAATGTAATAATTGCATTATTTGAATTCATGCCTATGATAATAAAAGCCTTTTGTTAAACTTTATATAATTTAACCTTAATTAACCAATTTCGGTAAAGTTGCATATAGTAGATCATTTTAAGGTCATAAAGAAGTTTTACTTCTTACGTGTGTAAACGTACGAAAAAATTGTGCGTGTACTGCACAATTTTTTTTTCTTGTTCACAGTTCTTTTCGTAATAAAGAATCATGCTTTGTTGAATTTAATATTTGTCCTATTTTGTCCCAAGTAAAAGAACTGTTCTCTGTTTTGTAAATTACTAAGTAATTAGGTACTTAATGCTGTGGAATTATACAGTTCAACGGAACTTACAACATTGCAACATTCGTAAAGAAACGGACGAATCGTATTTCGTATTGGACTAAAGCCATTCCAAACACACCTAACAGGCCATTAAAATCTCGACAATTAAAAACATTAGTTAAAATTAATAAATATTTTATAATTAGTGTGAAACATCTAATATATGAAATGTTATACGAAAGCGTCATAACTGTTCAAAGCGAATTTAAAATACTTACAATGAAAATCTTCCATAAACAATACAAAGAGAAGAAGTATCCGAGGAAATTGAAGTATTTCCCTTGAAAAGTGGTGGACCATTCAATTTTCTCTCTCATAGTTCTAGCGTCATGTGCTTCGAGAAACAATTGCCTACTCAACTCCTCCAATGCAGCTATCTCTTGGCGAAGCTGAGAAATATCTAAAAATATATTTTAATTAAAATTTTAATATTATCTGTGTTTGTATTCTATCCATAGAGGATTGGATAGATCCCTTCAATTTTTAAGCCAAGATCCTGATCACCTAAGGCTTCTAAAGATCATTTGCATTGATTAATTGATTTACATATAGTTTGAAAAACAATAAGAAGCAGAAATAATTATATATATATGCGGTGTCTATTTTTTTATAATAATAGTAATTATAACTGAATTAGAACGAACAATTACAAAAATCAGAAAACAATTCGCGCGTTTTTACTTTTTTTTTAATTGTTCCGTGCGTAGAATATTCACATTCCAAATTCAAATAAGATTTTACCCTTTAAAGATAAAAAATATTTATGAGTATTTTTTTTATTGTCCCATAGAATTTGTAATAGCGTAAAAAAAACACGTACGTCGACAAACTTTATTATTATTATACAATTGGGAAACAAGTCTACTAGTCTTACTTTCAGTCCCCTGACTTAATGGGTTGGTAATACTCCCAACACTAGACAAAATATTTGTCCAAAAACCCCTATTCTTCACATTTGACTGATCCATCATATAATTCTGTCTCGCTCCCACACTATTAGACTCAGCTAATGCTATCCTTTTCTTTTTAACTAAAATCATATCCATTGTTTGTAGCAGCTTTTTTTCTATTGACAATACATCTGATTGGGTAACTGGTCTGGAATTCAATATATTTCAAATAATATTTATTATATATATCATAGAATATATGCTAATATAAATTTCAAATGTATTGTTACAAGCTAACCCAAAAACTGCTAATAGCATAGATTAATGGTATTGTTACTATGGTTACCGTTTTTGTATTATAAACATGGCAACATAATAATCCTGGTTTTTACATTAATTGTAGTAGTCACACACTAGTATGATTAGATATATATAGTATGGGGAGAAATTACTTATTCAAATTTCAGTTCTTTCTGCTATACTAAATCAACCATATTTAAGAAAGATAACCCCTTTGTAACTCTATTCCTTAAAATAATAATGTTGTGGCGTTAACTTCACTTATATTAAAATGATTACCTGATAAATATAGCCATGGATGTGTATGGATAGTTGACAGCACCGAAACCAGATAGTAACGCCATTACAGTCACTCCTATTACGCCTATACGAGATACTCCTTGCTCTATAGAAAATATGCCCTAGAAATATTTATTAAAAAAATAAATGTCATCAGTTTCATTAATGTCTTTAAAGCATGTCGGTGATTAGACTGCTGTGTCTAAATGGAAGCCATTTTGCTTGAAATTATATAAGTACCTTCAACTTTGCTATTGCAATAAATATTTGAGATTTTCTAGTACATAGTATTGAATTGCAAAAAAGGGTTGATAGAGCATGAGTTAATCTATGTGGAAGTTAGTATTTAAATTGATGTAAGTAGAAATGTAATGAAATACCTGTTTAGGACTCAATATGGGAAATGGATCTCCGATCTTCCAAAAGAAATATAAATATACTAGCCAAACAAATATTGTCAATGGCCGTATGTGCGATCTTGACACTGGAAAAGTAATATAAGTTAAAATAAGATATTTTTTATCTAAAGTTTCACTTACATATTAATAATTGGCAATGTTAACATTGTCTTAGATTCAAACACTGAGGAGAAGCTATACCTACCATGTTATTCTCTATTACAAAATAACAAATCCTTGTAATCAAGTACTATCTTTCTTAATATCAATCTGTTTATAAAATAACAACTAACATAAACAATACTTCTTAATATGATGACAACTTACAAAATTGTATATTACTGATGCAATAGTAGGCAATGTAGAATGGTATCAGAGCAATCACCATAAATAGCAATGAATAAAGCCCCAAATTCCAATGGAAATATCTTGAACTGTAAAAAAAACAGCATGTAAACCAACATTTTAAGTTAATTATTATAGTATTTATTATTTAGTTAGTTTTTCATCAAACAAAGTATCTATATTCCTATATCAAATATAATTTTTATGTTTAAGAATGCTATTCTATGTGTATGCAATTAGAAAGTCCACGGCCTATTCTTTTTTTCCATTAAAGCTTAGTATTCGATGTTAAATAAGTTGAGTACTGGACCACCTAAGATATTAAAGCAATGCAATTTGTCTTTATATTTGTAATTCTTACCATTTATGGGAAGAAAGATATGAGTAATCCCATAAATAAAAGTGAGAGCTATTAGATTATCTTATAACTTATATCTTATAACTACAGTTGGGTGATGTGTAAAATCATAACTTTACAAGCTAGCAAATGTAATTTTAAGACTTACCTTGAATCTAAATAACCAATAATCTCAAATATGATAAGTTCAAACATTGTACAGCTCAAAGCAAATGTAACAGAAAATATCAACTGCACAAGACTATGGTGCACTTCATAATCCCGGAATAATTGTTTCACAAAGAATATCCAACCGCCTATAAAAAATATTGCCTAAAATGAAACAAATCATATGAATAAGTTGTATATTATAATTGTTAAGAATCTACTCTTATGAAGATTTTGGGACCATTAGATATTTATTATTGTTTTCTAATTTAAGCGGGAATATACCAGATATAAAGAGAAACTTAAAACTAAATTTTCTTACTTGAGATATAAAAACTATTAATGTGTCTTCTAGGAAAGTCATTATTCTACTTTTTTGATTGTTATTATTTATTCCGTTTCAGCCCGTTTCAGCACACTGCTTGTTAAAATTAAAGTTATTATAAATGTTTTTATTAATCTTAATCACAGCTTAGCCCAACACCGGTCATTGGTAACAGACTAGACTACAGTTTAGTGTTTACAGTTTACACCAAATAATAGCACAGACTAGAAAGATCGAAAAGCATACAATTATAATTTAGTAGAATTCGAACAGGAATAGAGAATTAGCTTTCAAGGCGATTCCCTCTGACCTCTGCCAAACCGAAAATCGAATCGGAGTTTGGACTGGACTCAACATTGTCAAAAGATCGACCTAATATATCTCACAACTTGGCTTAGAACCTAGACAAAAATATTTACGACAAGCGTGACTCGCATTCACTATGCTATGCCCTTCATTTCCACTTCCGATGCACCGCGCAATTATATGAATTTTTTGTAAGATTTAAGGCGGCAACTATGAACTTGCATACGCAAAATTAAATGTAGCTTACAACATAACTACATTATATATATACAGGCTGTAAGGCAATACAAAATATAACCTTTACTATTTTGGCACTATATGTACTATATAATATATATAATATATACAGTATGTTTATTTTATGAAAATTTTGGACACAGGAGATTTTGGGGAAATTATAGATTAAATAAAAAAAAAATACTTTTCTAATAATATCTTTACAATTTCAATTGGCTTCAAACCTTCGACTCCCGCCTTAAAAGACTTGAACGCGTTTCAGATCTCATCTTACTATTAATTCTCTTTATTCTCTTTATCTACTGCAGTACACAGTTGACTAGAAACAAATATCCATTTTACACGCCTGTCTCTCGTTTTTGCTCGTTAAATTGTTGTGAGGTTTACAATAAAACTGTGGTGAAAAATAACTTGGTGGACATTTTCAGCATCTCCAATGAGACATTTCGCCGAGTCGTTTTAGCAACCTTGCATTATTGTTTTCTTTTGCTAAGTAATATGCCTATCTTATTGCTTTTAATGTATTAACATTCTATATTCGCGGATGCTTGGCGACTTCTTCGATACAAAAAGTCCCCTCGGGATTTGTGTGCTGCGGATCTCGTCAGCGCGCTGCGCCTTCTTTAAAACTCTGATGTAATGTCCACAGGTGTATATCCTTAGTCTAACATATTTTCAGTGTTTGATTGTCCTCATTTTTAATGTGTAATAACGGCTTCAATGTGACTTTCATCCCTGGGGTCATAGGTATCTGTCTATGTATTTAACATTTGCTCGTGTACAACAATGTTAATCCTACTTGCTTATTGGAAATGATCACAGAACAGATATAGAAATCTGAGAACCATACCTAAAAGGTTGTAGTGCCATTGGTATGTTTGAGAGCATAAATAAAATAAAATTTGCATACTAATATGCTCAAAACGGCTCTTCATCAGACATAAAGTATAAATTTTCAACTACGGGAAGTTTTAACTTTGTTTCAATTACATTATCTTCTAAACATGATTTATTTTCTTTATGAGTTTTCATATGATTTTCTAAACAGATTTTTGTAGTATACTTGTGTTTGCATACTGTACACTGAAATATAGCATCAGCATGAAAACGTTTCAAATGACCAGCTTTGCGAGATGCTGATACAAATTTCTGTTCACAGTAGTCACATTTATATGGCTTTTCTCCAGTATGTGATCTTGTATGATACAATAATGACTCTTTGGTAACAAACTTCCTACCACAGACATTGCATGGAAATTTTTTATCCTGAGTATGTTTAATTATATGAGCTTTTAATCGGCTTGGTGCCCAAAACTTTTTCTTACACCACTCACATTCATGTGATTTATAATTTAAATGCTCATGTTGAATATGAACTCGTAATGTTACTTTCTGAGTATACTTTTTATTGCAATAATCACAAGTGAATTTTGCATCTGAGGGTGAAGCTCTTGATATTTGTTTACATATATTTAACTCATAATGCTTTTTATATGTAGATTGGCTTTTATAGACCCGTCCACAATCCTTGCAAACTATTTTAAAATAGTGGCTAATTTCATGCATTTTCAGAGTATGGCGATTATTAAATGTTTTACCACATTCACTACATACTAGTGTAACATGACTTTCATCTTTATGAGATTGTAGTAAGGCCATTGAACCAAAACACCGTTTACAAATTGTACATTCATAGTCTTTAGGTGCATGAACTCTAATGAAATGGTTTCTTAAATTGGATATTGTAGGATAAATTTTCAAACATTCTTTACATTTTAAATTCAGTCTATCATTTCTATCATAAAGCATATCTTGTGTTTGTATCTTTACTGTGTACTGTTTCTTTTTATTCTCCACTATTTCATTTTTCACTATATCTTTTTTAAAATGTAGATCTTGAATTAAGGAGTCTATTCTTTTCAATGCTAATTTGCTAGACGGAGCAATTTTTTTGTGATAATACTTTTCTAAACTGTAGTGTTTTGTATCTACAACAAGAAATAAAGTCTTCTGATCATCGTAGTATGATTCCAATTTAATATTATTTAGGAGACTGTCAACAATTTTATTTAAAGATGTAAAATTCTGTTTAGTGGTGTTGATAAATTTATAACTATTTACTGCTATTCTTATACAAGTTTTGCATATGATCTTGTTTGGCGATAGTTTATAACAAATCTGAAAAAAGATAGCATTTAGAAAGTAATCAAGGTTTTGAGTTACAGTTTTACATATAAATAATAGAAGAATAAAGATTTCTGCTTTATTACCTCATCACCCAAGACGAGGGTTAATATATCTAATAATTTGCAAGAGTTTTCTGTATTATTCTCACAAATCGTAACTTCTTCGTGTAATTCTGACTTTGTCTCATTTATGATAATTTTGAAACACAGAGCGCAATACTCATGTCCATTTAATAATGTCGCAAGTATGTTTGCCAATGCCATATTCTAGGTGCAATTTTATTGATTTAATAATAAAATTGCGATTACACTACTCCTAAGAAATAATTCTTTATAGGTAATTATTAATTTAAGGTTTCAGTCTACAATACTATAACGTAAATCGTAATAAATATTGCAATATTTTCAAAGGTATAAACACTTTTTGACCTTTGTAAATAGAAATCTGTCATCAGTCAAGTATACTGTATAATGTAATTTCTACTATACAAGAACAACACCTGGCTGTATGGACTAAAGTCCTTTGCCTTTCCCATTAGGGATAAATTAATATCATCATCATCAGTATAATAGTACAGATTATGATAAATACCAGTCACATTATTATCCGAATAGCAGAATATGTAACAAAATATTGGATAAGTTATCAAATAAAAATTAATTAATTTTACGAATTCAAACAGCATGTGGTGCCATCTGTTGACAAAACTACGCATAATTTTACATCGAATTTGTGTCAGTTCAAGAAATTTCGACCTTGAGGTGAAAGAGGAGATGCATAACCAGGCTTTGATCTTGATCGAAGACATGTGTTACCTCATCAAAAAATTTTGTATATCAGAAAGTGCTTTAATAACATGCAGTATCGCAATATTGGCGCTAGAGAGAAGAGGACTAATGTGTAAAACTGCCATTCTTCTTTCGTAATGGCACGCAATAAAACATTTCCGTATTTTCCAAAAAAAGGTTGTATTAATGTTATTAATAAAATCCTAAAATAAGTTTACCTAAAGTTAACACGATATTATTAGACTGTAAGGTGAAAGGAAGTTCGCTGGGTCAGCTAGTTTTAGTATACATAATAGTTTATGGGTTTTAGGAAAAGTAGAAGCACAATGGATAGCTTAGGTATATTCACTACGGACATAAGATTAGCCTTTTCAAACAACGAGTCGATAGTAGCTACTTTCTTAGATATAAGCTCAGCTTATGACAATGTTTTTATATCGATTCTTAGGGGAAAATTGCTTTGCTTAAATGTACCACCGATTCTGTCAAACTTTATTATCAATATGCTCAGTGAAGGATACATTAATTTATTTATCGAAGATGTCAAACTATCCCGGACTGTGTGGAAAGGATTACCACAGGATTTTGTGCTCAGTCCTTTGCTCTATAACATCTATACATATGATTTAGAAACATCATTGCAGGCATCAGCAAACGTACTACAATATGCAGACGATCTTCTTATATACAAATCGGGAAAATCGATTGAAAATAATTGCCAAGCTCTAACATCTTCCCTTTCATTTTTAAAATCATGGCTAAATTCGAATGGTTTAGACTTATCTGTATCCAAGAGTAGGGTTGTGTTGTTTTCCAGAATGCGTCCCCCGGTCCAAGTAAAGTTCAATAGTGTTTTAATTCCCTCGACTAATGACGTCAAATTCTTAGGAGTAGTTCTAGATTCCAAGCTTACCGGTGTACCCCATTGTGAATATGTAACTGCAAGATGTGAACGTAATTTGAATATTCTTAGATGCTTATCGGGCATCTGGTGGGGAGCGCATTCACACTCCTTAAAACTGATTTACAACGCCATAATCAGAAGTGTAATGGATTACGGTACTTTCCTGTTAGAACCAGAAAATATTTCTGGTTTTAAAAAAATGGATAGTATTCAGGCAAAAGCAATGAGAATAGTCCTAGGAGCTATGAAGTCAAGTCCAATCAACTGTATGAGAGTCGAGTGTGTAGAGCCTCCATTAAACTTACGACGGCAATTTCTGTCAGATAAATTCCTATTCCGTTGTGTCCAATTCAGTAACCATATTCTAACACCTAAACTGACTTGCCTAGCATCTTTAATCCCCAATTGTAGTTATTGGAAAAACAAACGCCCACCATGTTTGGTTGAAAGTTACAGAAGATTTACTTCTTTTGAGGCTCCTACTCACCAAGCGACTTCTAATCCATTGTTCAAATATAGTTATGATTCCCTTGAATCCTGATATACATTCTAGCACAGGTCTTGTGAAAATTGAGCAAAACCAAAAGTTAACATTTAACTATATTGTTGACACCAAGTGACCACAATGGCATCGAATATTTACAGATGCATCTAAGCGTTCCAAAGATGGCTGTGTAGGTGTTGGTGTACTGCACTCTAATTACAATATTGTTCAAAAAACTAAACTCCCTCCTGAATCCTCCGTGTTCACTGGCGAATGTATTGGCCTTGTTAAAGCCATAGAATACATCCTTCTACTAAAACTCCAAAAAACTGTAATTTTTACAGATTCACTGATATCTTTAAATGCCCTAGCCCGGTTCCCATTTGGCTCACATTATCAATTCCCTGTCATTTCCAAAATTAGAATCCTGCTATTAAGATGTTCTGTTCTGCTATTATGATGTGTTAAGTGGGTTCCTGGTCACTGTGGAATATCTGGAAACGAGAAAGCCAATCGTTTAGCCAATGAGGCGGTGGAGAGTGGAGATGTAGATAGTTTTAGAAACTATGCGCATGACTTGATGTCTCTTTCAGGGATTTATCTCAGGAATTCCTGGACTGAATCCTGGGCTCAAGATAGCTCAAAAGGTCGCCATTATCGTACTATTCAACCCTGCTATACCCAGTAAGCCCTGGTTTTGGAGACTGAGATTCGGTAAAAAAGTTACAACAGTACTGTCTCGTATGCGACTGGGACACGTCTGCACCCCAGCTCATCTAACCAAGTTAAATATTAATGACAGCCCTACGTGCGATTGCGGATATGATGTAGGTGATTTAAATCACATCATATTTGTTTGTCCTCGACGCGACCGGTCAGCTCTTCTCGAAGGTCTCATTTCCCTTCAAATTCCTTTCCCTTCATCCATACCATGTTTACTTTCAACATTGGACCCACATCTATATAAACTTTTAGCAGCATTTATCTTAAGTAATAATATAAAAATTTAGACAATATGAACGTAAATATATGTAAATATTTTTTCTTACACTCCTTTTTTATGAAAATTTATAAGAATTGATCTTTTATTTTATAGATTAATTATTTTCTATTCCTAAATTCCTTTCCAGCCGATAATTTTATGTTTTTACCCGTTTCCCTGTTTTTGACCCTGGGCCACAATGCACAAACCGTGCGGGCCATTAATAAAAAAAAAATAAAAAAATAGTTTATGCGCAGAGAAGTGAGAACTAACACGCCGTGGAGAGACTCAAACCCTTGTGCGAGCTCCAAGTGTTTGATTGGCAAGCAACTGCTGCGCAAGATTTTTTTCATATTAAACAATTTTATGATCTTAAATCACACGACAGTTTGCACAGTTTTAAATTCATTCATACTAAACGACGGTGAGAAATGGCAACTCCGCGCATTGGCGTGATAGCTTCGGTAGGATTAAAAGAATACCTACGACCGGGACATAAATACTATGGCTAAGTTCTGCATTTGTCAAATTAATAACAATTTCAGATAAATAGGATACGATTGTTTACTTTTTAGATGTTCTGAAGTGTCGTATGAATATCGTCATATTTAATCGTAAAGTTTTCTTAGGTAATTAAGAATCACAAAACATGTGTTTAGCGGATAGCTGCTCCGAGGTGCTTTTTTTGATTCTAAAATTGTATGTATCGCGATAATTTCCTCGAGTAAGCTGTCTAAATACTTACCTCAAACTCAAACTCAAAATATCTTTATTCATGTAGGTAAACAAGTACACTTATGAATTGTCAGAAAGAAGTTAAATTTATTGTAAATTTACATTTACTACCAGTTCGCAAGTCAAGGGCATAGAGCGGGTAAGAAAAACTGGCAAGAAACTTTCCGCCACTCTTTTTAATCGCCAAGTCATACAAATTGTTTGAACTGGAGCAAATCAATCCCAAGGATTAGGATCATTTAATTAGTATTCCTCAAATTTATAAAAAGCTTTATTGATTAATTTTCCAACCTAACCTAACTAAGATAGATGTATTTTTGCAATAAATTCATTAGGTTTAAGTGAGATTAAATTGGGTTAAATCAAGTTATTAAACTTAATGTAAAAACTATACGTAGCATCATTTGATTTTCTGATATTAAATTCCTAGATGTAAAATGCAAAGCACGAAGCAGTGCGTGGCGCGCGACTAGCTTTGTAGTTTGAACTAGAACTGTCAGCGACATCAACGAATTTTGTGCATTGTTCAAAATTTGTTATAATAAGATAACCTATCATAAAAGTCGATCTACTTTATGCTGGATGAACGACGATTATTTTGTGTATGGAAATTATTATTTTAAAGTTTTAGCCTGAAACTTACTGCTGTAAGATAACTTTTAGTGATGTCTAAGAAAATTCTATTTGTTGTTAGCAAACATTAAAGGTTGAAACATACTACTAAAACGCCACGCGACGCAACGAGTCGACACCCGATGTCCATCGTGCACATTACCAACACGCGACACCACGACAAACTTGCAAATTCAGAAGTCATTTAGCTGACAATTGACATTTGTGCCAAAAACTCGAACGTTTGACGCTTGGCGTCAACAACACGACAACACGCCGATCCAAATCGATTGGATGTTACCGCGTGTGATCACATGGCGTGTTGTCTATGTGCATCTGACCATATTAAATATATGGGATTGATAAGACTGACATGCGTCGGATGGCGTGGTGTAGCGTCGCGTTTTGGTAGTATGTTTCCGCCTTAATTCTCATTTACTTGTAAGTACCTATAGTTTCTTGGTGTTTCTACTCGTAAGTTTTTAAGCTACTACCACTTTACCATTATTACATTACTTATTATTTAATATTGTGCTTTTACAAATTACAACTTCTGAGAGGTCACATAGCAAGTAGGGCAGGGCAGGGGATGGCCCGCGCCCCCGCCCCCGTATTTCTCTTCTTTTCGCACAAAAGCATAACACAAAAATGTAACGTCTCATGTAAACATTGTCAATGAGAACTATACATTCTTTTTTACTACATACAATATAATGTTGGTTGTAAAAACGAATAAACATTATGACCAAACGGCTTAT